CAACTTTTATTTTTCAAGATAAGTCTGGTTCACCAGAAACGTCTAATGTGCCATCCACCGTGAATCAGCCTGTATGAGGCAGCGGACGGGCCTAGTACTTTCGAGAATGGAGACTAGAAACTTCTCGCTTCGCATTGAAGCTTACCGCCATCTATTGTACAGTTTTCCAACTATCGGACAGGAAATAGTTACTGTCTAGTCTCTAGACGGCGTTACACGAGAAAATCGCGTTAAGCGTAAAGGAACGGTAAAGTTTTTGTTAAAAGCAGAAAAACATTTTCAAATTAGCCATCGCCCCCCTAAACCGCTTCAACGCCCTCCAATCTTCTCTGTGTCCTTAACTGCCCCCCTATAGGCCTCCAGCACCCACAAGGGGGCGTTATCGCCCACTATAGTTTAGATTATATTTGTTTTCCACAGCGATCAGATAATCATCATGAGAAATAAAATTTGCTTGTGCTTGCATCGATTGCTGGAATGATTTTTTCTCCTTCATGTATAATGTATAAGAGTAAATAAAGTTTAAATTTTGTAGATCTGTTGTAATGAATTATTATTTAGTCTTCACCAAGAAATGGGGTTATGGAATATCAAACAGACAATTAAATCAATGCTAATGATTTGAATGCAGAGCTCTTAATTCGAAAGAAAAATTAACACCTAATCTTACTTATGAAGTGGAAGAAATTCGAAAATAGTAGTTGCTGATGAAACTTAAAAAACGGTCAAGATCTTCTCAGAAAATCAAAAGACAAATCTCCTGAGTTACAAGAAACAACGTTGTGTATGAAATCAATTATAGTAATAACCAGAGTTGGCCTAATTTGAATCAAATGATTCAAATCAAGTGTTTTTTCAGTTTCATCATTTATTTGAATTGAGGAAAAATCGCAAAATCAGACAAAACTTTTAAGATAATAAAACGCCCCAACTGCTTCAACAAACGAGATGATTCACAAAGAGTAATTTTGTATATCCAACATAACAACATTTAAGTCCCCACTGAAATGCGTTCAATAGCAATGAAACTAGTAACATTTCATTTTGTGAGTTGCTCAACTGATAGTAAAATTTCAGGCGTTGCCGAATCGAAAAAAACTCGAAAACTGTCAGTCTTTCTTTTCTTTTCAGAACTAATCATTTTTTTAAATAAGACTGCGTATATCCAATATGCCTAAAGCATTGTTGAAATAGTCCCAACAAATACTAAAAGTAAGTAAAGATAATAGCAATAAAACATATCAACAGTACAAAAAAATTCGAAAGTTCGAAATAGTGCACATGTTGGCAACGACGTAACTTGTCATCTTGTGACGTCATTCTCTTCTTAACGTGAATAACCTATACCTCTAACAGAAATCGAAAGTGGAAACTATCTCTGGGTCTGGTCTGTCAAAAAACAACTAGTTGTTTAACTTATACGCATGTATCTCTCCCATAGTTTTCACTTTTGATTTTTGGTATATGGGATGTTTCTTCCCCGCTTGGGGCTTTTTTCACTAGATGGAGTTGTTACTAGTTAACAACCTTTCTCTCAGACGAAAGTTTCATATATGTGGCGGAGCCATATTGAAATTGATAGAGTTTCAGACACTTTGCTGTCTGGGTAGGATATTTCCTTACTGACGAGAGGTAATACATCGAAACCCTGGTCTGCAGGTGATATACTTGAATAACTTCAGCAGGGTCTGCTGCTGGATGAACGAGAAACATCTGCCAGACTATCCTCGTTTCTGCAGGTCACACTCCCGCATTTCTTTTTTAGTATGATAATACTAATGCTTGTTCATAAGTTCGGACTTCCATTCTCTAATATGATATAAATTGATTTGAAATCCCTGAAAGTGGATTTATGGAAAATAAAAATTAAATTTTTATTTTCCATTAATTCCATGAAAATCAAAAGATGTTCATAGAATTATTTTATTTTCCAACTGAAATATGTGGATTAGTTTTCCGATGGCATTCCAGGATAGCTTCCCAAATTTCTGCTAACGCAGTTGTCGCTTGATTGGTCAAAACACCAACATAAAAACTTGACAAGTTGACTTGGGTGTCACACCAGTAGGTGGTTCCACTTATGTCTCGCTTGCGTTTACGCTGTTATGTTTATTAAGTACGTTTCTTGGCTATTTACATTTTGTCTCCAATCGACGACCACCTGCCCGGTACTGACGATGCCCAATAAGCTGAAACAGCTGTCTACCGGTGACTCTTACATTGAAATCAATATGTATGTATGTGTGTATGTATGTGATGGAATATGTGTGTTGGTATTTATGTATATTTGTGTTGTGCATTCCATTGATATGTTAGTATTGAAATGATTTATTTAATCATTATTATAAATTTAATCCCTGTTATAAACATTTTTGTTTCTTGGGATTAATAAAGATTATTATTATTACTTTCACATAAACATTGCTTATCACGAAAGGAAAAGTGAGTTATTATTCAGAAATGGCTCGTTCCTCACAAGGCCTAATATAATATAATGAGATAAGATTATTTTATTTTTTGAAGGGAAGTTTGAATTTATGAATCATAGACTCACAACTTATCAGCAAACATTGAAACTGTGAAAATCACATTCTAAGTGATTATTAGTAGTTGATTTTGAACACTGGACTTCTGCTAATTGATTATCAATGATGGGTTTATCTTGAAATTTGGAAAACTCTAATTGGTAGAAACATACTTATTCTCAACTTATGATAAGGATAATTTTGAAAGTTATCAACATATCTGAAGTTGGATTTTACCATATTATATATCAGTGTGAAATAGTATCATTTGAATAAATTACAGAAAAAATACATTTTTCTACTTGAGGTTCTTATACTGAAATTAGTCTAATCAGATTCATATGGAACTCTGGCCCATTGTTTTACATTGAGAAAGCTAGTGTTCATATCGAGATCTGGGTGTGTTTCAAACTTCAGTTCAATAATTTACGGTTCTGAATATTCCAACAGTTTCAAGATAAACATTGATTAGTATTATCTTAAAACCTTGGTTTTATTTTTTGTTAATTAGGCTAATTATCGAAAATCGATTGATATTTCGTTTCATTATTCATCTATTTATTTCTACAATCTATGATTGGTTGACACTATTCCACACAAATCAATAGAGAAATTTTACTGGAAATGAATAAAACCTGTTGAGCTTTTGGTAAATTCATTACCTTCGTCAGGACAACTATAATACATCACAAGATACTTCTTTATAATTATATAAATATGGAACAATTACTAACGAGAGAATAATAAAGAAACTGGAACAAAACAAAGAGAAATGAAAAAGATTTTTTTTTCAATTCACATTTTGATAGAGTGTCATGTGGAAAAATTATCGTACTTGAAATAAATCAAGGCATATATAAAATCGTATATGAAAATTGTAGCGAAGAATACGTCGGCCGAACAAATTGACAAATATTATTCAGAATAGAAGAACACAAGTTTTCAGTTTATAATAAATAATCGTCTGGTTATACAAACACCACTTTGATTTCAATGGCTACCAATGGTGCAAGTATAAAGAACTAGATAACAAAATATTTCAAAACACCAATTCACATAAACAAAGGCAACTATTAGAAACAAAATAAATATAGTTTAAAAAACTAAAAAACACGCTTTTGAAGAACATCGAACTAATAAATTAAGATTTTTTTTAAATAAGCTTCTTGAAGCATATTTATTTTATCTAAACTTTGGGATCAATCAGCCGTATATTATTTAGAAAAAAATGACCATTGATATTTTCTGATTCCGGAGAGGGAGCTACCAAGCCTAAGGCAGCAGGCGCGCAAAGGAAGGTTACAAATAAGGCGGCAGGCGCGCGTAGTAATAAAAAAATACTTTTTTCAAATGAAGAAATACTTGTAAAGTGAGTTCGAATTATATCAAGGAGATTACGTACAGCGCCATCTGCCCGCCAATAGATCAAGCAATAATGTCTATAATTCTGTCAAATACAGATCCCGAGCTTGAGAGTTTCAAGCAAACAAACAAACATACATACATACATACAGGTGAAGCTAATGAAAGCCTGTTAATAATTAACCCTTAATAACCTGAATTTCTATTTTTTAAGAAAAAATATGTTTACCTTGAATAAAAGTCCTTTTTGATGATGTACGAAATGAAAATATTTTATTTTTAATTGAAAAAATATATAGTTTTAGAGAAAAATGGTGTTACATATATGTAACGCTAGGAAGATATGAGGTCAATGATATATTTTGACAAAAATGTAATGAAATTACAGAAATATTATTTTCTGTGGAAAGCTACATTACAGTCAATGCAAAGACCCAGATCACATTTCAAACACATTGTTCTCACACTAGATTTACAGTCTTCATGTGCACAACGCCTTCTTTTATTATCTGGGATATATGTTAACAAATGATCCGTTCTGTCATATCTAATATTCTCGCTTATTTTGCATACCGAGGAGCTAGATAATACCGACGAAGGTCTACCTGCACTTTTGGCTGCTGTGCCGTATTTTGGAAGATATGTTGTCACAATATCCCTGCGAAAATTTAGCTGTGGTACTGGATCATTTCCCTTATTGTAAAGGAACCATGCATTGTGGATACTTATGTCCAACATCCATGAGAATAGACTCCACCACCATTTTTTGGATCGTATGGCAATTCGGTACCTGCTGACGTTTTGGTCCATCAAATCCGTGCCACCCATGGAACTGTTGTACTTTCCAATTAAGTTAGGGCGAGAAACTTGGATCATTTTTTTTTCACTCCTACAAAATCTTTTCACAGTAGAGATTGGTTCGACTCCAAAGCAAGTTGATGCTACAGTGACTATATTATTGTCAATCCAACGAACAAAGACTATCCCAGTTTCACGGTCCAAAATAGAGTAATGTTTACCTCTAGGTTCCTTGCGCAAACTTATTTTTTTTGGCAGTGGTATTTCTTTAGGCAACCGATTATCTCGCATCGTCCCAGTAACCCAGATACCAGAATCCCGCAAATCACGTAGTAACGTTGCACTAGTGAATAAATTGTCTGTGTACAATTTATATGGCATCCTTTTTTTACATTCAGGAAATTCTCTCAACATTGTGACCAGTGGTGCGGTGGATTTACCATAAAGCACTTCATCACTTGTACTAATTCTAGGGTTTTTGCCCTGATATAAATCAAAGTTGATTAGGTATCCGCCTTTGGTGTTGAGTGACCACATTTTGTACCCGAATCGTATGGGTTTTCCTCTAATAAACTGTTTGCAACTATGCCTTCCAAAATATTTCACCATCGACTCATCAAAATTTATATTTTCTTCAGGTACAAAGTGTTTCAAAAATTTGTCCTTTAGTTTATCCATTAGTGGACGAATTTTCCATGCCTTATCATTTATGTCTGGATTATTGTTATCCGCCACATGTAGAAAATGCATTATTTGTTCAAATCTATTTTTCTGCATTGACTTCTTCATCAGTTCAGAAGTTCAGAAGCGGTTTCGAATCCCAGTAATTTCGTCTGGCTGGCTGGTTTTACATCATATCCACTCAAAATAAGTATAGCCAAAGCACATTTCAACTCTTCAGCTGTAATATTGGGATCGGGGGCATTTTTGAAAATTGCATATTTTTTAGTTTCTTGCACTAGATATTCGATTCAACATCATCACCCCAAAATATTTCAAACATTTCAATAGGTGTACTTTTGGAAAATTCAGAATAATCTGGAGGATGAAATTCCGTACCTCTACTCTGAAGATCGCCGGATAACCATGAAAATTTCATTTGTTTTTCTTTAGAAAGAGGTTCTGTTCTGTCTGCATTAGAATTTGTATTCTGTTCTATTGTTTCACTATTTATCCGCAGATTATTCTGCTGTTGAATTTCGACTGGTGCACGAAGCTGACGCCCCGTTAGCCTATCCAGATCCCCATCCCTATCATCGTCACCAGAATCCTCATCTGTAAGCACACTTACTTCAGGGGGCTCCGTATAAATCGCAGCTATATCAATATCATCGGCATATGCCATTTCCAGGGCTTCTTGAAGCGTAAACCCACGCCTGAAAAAATATCTAAATAAAAAAGTTGTCCGCATTAGGCATATAACATTTTGAACCACTCCTCCCCTCTAGAAAAATGATTTTTGTCAAAACGAAAAGTCAAAAGTCGTCAAACCTAAAGAAAATACATCCCCAACAAATCTTCAGAATATGCTCCCGTTTCAACCTAGCGTTACGTATATGTAACAGTAAGTTTTATGGATGGCTAACAAAACAATTATAAATTCTATCGTACGAAATGTTGATGGATTTCAATAATATACTCAATAGCAAAAAAGCACACTTGTTTCAGTTATCATATTTGTTGCAGTATATATGAAAACAATACTTACTCAAGACGCGGCTCCATTTTCTTCACTAATTGAAAACACTACCCGATATATAACCTTGCTGCATGAACAATACGCGCAAAAATGACAAAACTTGTCAGAATTATGTTTCAGTGGACTACACAAATAGTGTAAACAGAGACATCTATTTGCCAATAGCCACAGTTTTTGAGGAATAAAATAGATTTATCAGTGAATTTTGCGTTACATATATGTAACACTTGGTTATTAAGGGTTAATAATAAAAACAAAAGATGTTGCGGTTATGACGATATCTCAATTAGAATAATTACAGATCAATTTCACTTAGGACTCTTTCACACGGGGAGCTTCACGTCTCTCGCTCCTATACGGCAGCGTTTATCACTCCTACCTACCGCCCATTTACACCGGGAGCCTTATTTAGCTCCTGGCTCCTTGAGGTCAGTCGTAGAATGGATCGCACGCGAGCTGTTGTCATATATCTTGTCTACCGTCGACACAAACCTCGACAACAGAAACGTTGACGATCAAGAATGGAATGGATAAAGTTGCGAAATCTACGGTGAGCACCTTGCAGACTTCCATCCAACTTTTTACGACTTCATTTCAGTCCTCATAAATGTCGGGACTTTTATCCTAAAAAGCGGGTCGGTTGCAGACAGCACTAATTAACTGCTCCACATCGTAGTCTGCCATGATGAATATCGTCAAGCGTCAATTAGGGAGAGCCGTTTTCACTCCTCGTGTGGAAGCCCCCACTCATCCTTTTGCATTTTGAGGAGGAAACGTGGCTCCTCGGCTCGAGGTGCAGGAGACGTAAGAGCTCTCCTCCCCCGAGACGAGGCGGCTCCCGCTCTTCGTCTGAAAGCTCTTTTTGGCGCTGAGAGCCTTCCTCTTGCAGGAGCGAGGTATGTGAAGCTCCCCTTGTGAAAGGGCGCTTACATCTACTCTTTGTTGGGTCATTGAAAGCTACAATTGATGTTAAAATAACGGTCTAGTTAACTTTTTACTGATACTAATTTGTATGATGGAGAAATAACACTGTTCTGGTGTGTGGGTGCGGGACTTGTTTTGGAATAGTTGTGGAGTACAACAGAAGCTGTGATTGTTTTTCTCAATGAACTGTACACTACATAGTGAGGTGAGCGGAGCAGTGATTTTGTATTTTATTGAGAGCTTAAGAATGTGTAAGCCATGAAATTCTGCAGTACAAACTAAGACTGTATGGTTCCAGAAAACAGTTGAAGTGAATAAAATCTCATCCGAAACGAAAAACCCATAATCTCTCAGAAAGTAGTTCTGTCGAGTATGAAGTTCCTCAAGGCTCAGTACTTGAAGCAGTCTTGATTGTAATGATTTGTAATGATATCACAACTAATGACTCACAATCTTTGCACATGATACTACCATGCTATAGCATTATGAAAATTGTGAGGTCGTAGTTTAATGAATAGTTGTAGGAATAGTGATTCCACTATTACGAAAAATAATTGTGTAACATTTTTATCTCATCAATTGTCGCAAAACGACGTCTTTTCATGGAATTCCCAAATCTTGGAAACAGAAAGGAGTTGCAGGGGGCTAAATCTAGTGAATACAGTGGCTGAAGTATGATTACGCTGTTATTTTTGGCCAAAAAATCACGAACAAGCAACAACGAGTGAGCAGGTGCATTATCGTGATGCAAAAGTAATGAATTCTTTTTCCAGAAAACCGGAAGTTTTCTTCGTAGCAGGAAATCGCTGAACGCACAAAACACTTATAACTCTTATGCATCTTGAATTCCATTAGTTTGGACTACCGTTATCTGATTTATATAAAATGATTTGAAATCCATGAAAGAAGAATTCAAAATGAATAACTGAAAATAACAATTACATTAAGCAAAAAACTGAAATGAAATTATAGTGAAATAAAATACAAGTAACAAGCAACAAGAACAAATAATGAAAAATAACAATAAAAAATTCCAAGCCAAGTTACTTCACGACTTTTAGATTGTTAGTATCCACAATCATCTTCGTGTGATGACTCGACTAATTCCTCCGAGAGGTGACTATTTATGGGTCAATCGAGTACTTTCACTTATCTCCGCTTACGTTTTTCCACTTCACCGTTTTAGTGGGAGATGACTCTCTGGCAGGAGTTGGCTATTTTTCTCTTGATTATGGGTTTCCATATGTTGCGTATCTCTACGCTAGCTTGGCTGAATACATTGTTAGAGAACATGTATGCGGCTTCTTTGAATTTCATCCTGAACCAGTACAGTATCTGAACCACGAATTCAACCACCATCCATCACACGTTTGATGTTATATACATACCTCCCAATAGTACAAATGAAGTATATGAAATGGCTTTCAATGTCTTACAAGAAAACATCTCGGATTTTAGTGAATCTTATATTGTTGAGGATTTCAATATACAAGGGATTTCAGGTACTAGCTTTAATTTAAACATGCATAGTGGGAAATTAGACTTATTATGCGGGTTCACTGATTTCAACTCCCTCCAACAACTCAATCATATTAAAAATAATTATGGCCGTATCTTAGATTTAGTATTTACTTCAGAAAATAATTCTACCAGCTGCACTATAAATAAAATAGATCTCCCGTTTGTGAAGGAGGATGATTACCATCCTGCTCTAAATGTCACTATTTCTTCTGAAGGGAGGAAAGAATCTACAAATATTCCATTAGAAACGAGGTATAACTTTAAAAAGGCTGATTTTCTTGAATTGAGTCGCACTTTCAGAGATATCGAGTGGCATACAGTTCTTAATGAAAGCGATGTTGAAGTGGCTTTAGGTAAATTTTATAGTTTGTGGAATGACGTGGTAGCAAGGTGTGTCTCTAAAATTAGTTTCGGTAAGAATAACAATTCGTATCTAATTTGGTTTACTAAAGAGATAAAGGATCTGAGGAGAGAAAAAGAGAGATACAGGAAATTGAAAATGTTATCAGTTTATTATGAAAATAAATTCAAAGAGTTAAGGTGCAAATTAAAAAAAATAATTAGAAAAGAAGAGAGGATTTATTATAAAAAAATCGAAGATAGTATACATACCGAAGTGAATGAATTTTGAAGTTTTATAAATAAAAAAAAATCAAATAACACAAATCTAGGAAGTTTTGTCTATAATAATGAGTTTGTGGATGAAGATAAAACTGCCGACGTATTTGCAAAATTCTTTTCGTTAGTCTTTTGCTCCGAACCTGCAACTTATAATATGCATTTCAAAGATACACATAATGGTATAGGAATTTGTAATGAATCATGTAACATAGACTCTATTTGCGAGACTGACTTTAATGCAGCAATGAAAAAACTGAAGTCCAAGAAGGCAGAAGGTACAGATGGTATTCCTTCCTATATTTTGGAAGGCTGTAGAGAATGGCTGAAAGTTCCATTGATTTATATTTACAACTTGATCATTAAAACTGGTTCATTCCCAACTGCTTGAAAAACTTCTATAACAATACCAATACACAAGTCGGGAAACAAAATGGATGTGGAAAATTATAGGACAATTTCCATAATATGTGCTTCAACGAAACTATTTGAGTAAATCATTTTCATCAAACTCAGCAATTACACTCATAAATATATAGTACCACAACAACACGGATTCATGAGACAAAAAACAATCAGCACTAATCTATTGATATTGAGTAATAAGGTTTTTGACACGTTAGAAAATAAATTACAGTTGGATATTGTTTTTACGGACTTCAGAAAGGCATTTGATCAGGTATATCATGACTTACTCCTAGAAAAGCTGAGTGGCTATGGATTGTCCAGAAATTTGCTTGAATTGATAAAGAATTTTCTTCAAAAACGATATTTCAGGGTCAAACATAATGGAAATACTTCAGGAAAATTTATGGCTAATTCTGGAGTTCCACAAGGCTCGTACATAGGACCTCTTCTGTTTTTACTTTTTATTAATGATTTGTCTTCAACTCTTGAATTTTCGGAGTGCTTACTTTTTGCAGATGACTTAAAACTCTTGAAACGTATTCAGATTGTTCGAGACTGTATAGGTCTGCAGAGAGATATTGATAAAACCATGGATGGGTTTCAATTTAAAAAAATGTTCTCTCAATCACCCGTATTGAAGAGCCAATTCTGTTTGAATATGAAATGAAGGGAGAGATCCCAGAGAGAAAAACTGAAATAAAGGATCTTGGTGTTACCTATAATTCACAATTCAACTTTTCCACTCACATTAATAACATGATTGAGTCCGCTAGTCGTATTTTAGGTTTTGTTAATAGACAAACATCGAATTTTGCCAATATTAACACCATTAAATTATTATATTATTCCCTGGTCAGGCCTAAACTAGAATTTGCCTCAATTATTTGGTCCTGTGAATATCAAACATATCTAAATGATTTGGAAAAAGTACATAACAATCTGTTGAGATATTCGTATTTTAAAAAGTACCAGGTGTGGTCTAATTATAATACCGTCAGGACATATCAATTAAGATCGGAATTCAAGATACTATCCTTAGACCAGAGACGAATTTCAACATCAATTATATTCCTGTATAAATTAATAAACAATTTAAGAAATTCCCCAGAAATCCTCAATATGCTTCCATTTAATGTACCTCCACGGTGTATACGTTCCGCACCAATGTTTAATATCTCTGCAATATGTACATCATCGAGAGCACCTCTTTTAGTTATGATTGAATTAGCAAACAATTTCAATCTACTTATGGATTTAGATTGGACCTTACCTCTATCAGTTTTTCGTAAAACAATTTTAGAACAAATATTGAATTCAACTCTGTCAAACTAAACATATATTTGACGAATCCACTCAGTGCAGTTATGGACGACTCCCTACAAGTCTGGTATCAGTAAGTAATCTAGATCAATATTTAATAGCTATCATTGTAGTGTATTTGTCAACAGTTTATCCATGTATTTAGTCTTTAATGGACTGTATGGGTAATAAATACAAATAAATAAAAATAAATAAAATCAACTAAATGAGATATCATCAAGACTCTATTAGATCGTGCTTTCGGCCTCTGTAACACAGAGGAAGGTTTCGAGAAGGAACTGAACATCATCAAAAATGATCTTCAACGAAATGACTACTCCAAGTGAAACAAACTTTGGCTAAAAGACAGCAGGAGCCTCGCAAAGAAGAGAAGCCGTCACAATCAGTGCTTGCACTGATTGTGACGGCATTGCTTCCGCAATGCCGATGAGGATGAGGATGAGACGCATTGCTTCCAAGAACAACATCAGAACCTACTTCGATAGATAATATTTGAGAATGTCGAAATCTTGGAGGTATTTTACCAGTTTGAAGCACAATAACATTAGAAAAACCTCGTATTTCCATATTTATTACGAAACATTTTTTGTTCCAAAACTTTTTGAGTTCTTTCATAGAAGATGATATCAGTATCGTCAGCTTACGTTGGGATTTGTAGGTATCTCATATGGTGTATTTACCTAACAATGAATGATAATATAACCAATATATTATTGAATTTTATAAAGATTTCATTATATACAATCCTTAAAAGCATGAATATTATCAACAGGATCATATGGTAGTACATTTAATGATTTTTTTGTGTAGAAATATAACATTCCATATTCATGTGATTCATCATGTGGAACTGATTGCTGATAAAATTCGGTAGGCTTTCATGTTATCCTTCTAACGACCAATCCACCCATATATAAATTGCGATTCGGCCTGAAAATAGATAATTGTGAGGTAAACTCCTGAGTACTCAAGATGGCATCTAATTCAGCAATCCTGTGTTTCTTCATTTGTATAAGTTCAATGTATTGTAAGTTATTATTCCATAAAAAGTTTACATAATGTTCCAAACTACAAACTAATTGCATAATATTTCTTTCTGAATTTCTGTTTTTTTGACCTCCAACAAACTGAAAAATGAACGGAGCTAATTCAACAGAGATTTTGTCAATAAGTAATACGAGTATGAAGCAATCTGAAAAGTTTACTTGAAAAGTTACTGTTTGATATGAATTATTAATTTCGCCTACAAAATAAATAATCAATGGAAAAGTGGAATTCATACACCGGGCTTTTGAAACTTGAAAAAACATTAATGTAAAACTCCTTGATTGAAAGACTAAAAAGAAACATACCTATTTCCAATCAAACCGTTCTCTCTAATGTTTTTTTGGTTTTGAAAACGGGAAGGGATTACTTATAAACCAAAATCATCCTGAAGAAAGCTAAATATATAAATTTAATTTTTCTGCAGTTGAAAAAGCAAATGCGCCACTGGAATCAATGAAGTTGTTCCGGATTGCCAATTAATTTTTGTTGTTTCATAATTTCATGATCTGTATTACTTTCTGGTTTCTCAATTATATCAAAACATTGAGATTAATTTGGAAAAATATATAGAAATGTCAGATAAATTTTCATTTATTATTAAATTTGTAAGCTTATTGGCTTTCTACTTCTCCACATTTATACAAAAATCATGGGGAACTTCCAAAGGAAGAAAAATGCAATCAAGTTCAGAATAAACTCTTCATAAATATGTACGAGTATAGATCATGTACATAATTTACTTCCAAATACAAACGGAAGAAAATGGTGAATATTTTCATATACAGAAACAGAATTTTCAACTGTTGGTTTTGAAGATTGTTCAATTACACTCTTTATGAAGCAATTTGAAAAAAAGTCAAAAAAAGTTTTTCTCTATGGCTATGTGGAGACATACACGGTGTTACATTTGAGAAAATTAATTGCTTTCTACTCATTTTTTCATGCGATCAAAGTATCTGTATTTTTTAAAGACCCTGTATGAGGCAAAAAAAATATAACTCGAAGTTAAGATCCTCATGATATTACTCCACTCCATTTTGAATATGATCAGCGCAGCGTTCATAAAAGTACTTGTGTGGTAAAAAATCGAAATTAACTTATATGTTCTAAACGGTAACACATTAGGTATAGAAGGATAGTACATGAAGTTATTGACAAAATCCTAATATGATGAATTGAAGGGGTTATATTTTTTAGGAGTGATTAATTTTTAGGAAAGAAATTTTTTGGCTTTCTACTAAAAATAACCCCTTCAATTCAAATAAGATTCCTCTAGGCTGAGATTGAATCAAATAGGTGAATGAATGTCACTACGATGTCATCGATGACATAAGCAGATCAAGCTTATTCCGTGACATTAAAAAATCGTAATTCATGAATGAAGTGTGTGTATTTTCTATAATGTTATCCAATTTGGTACTGAAGAGCCTTAGGGCAAGTGTCTTAAGGCTGTTACCATTCATTTAAAGTAGAACTCAGTGAATGATATCTGATTTTTATTCCACAACGAATATTTGAAATACAAACTGAGTAGAGAAAAGTATCTTCTGTATAATTCAGTGTTCATATAGAAGTATTTGTTTCGAAAGAATTTATTCTTCCGTATAATTCAATGTTTATATGAAAGTAGCTGTTTCAGGAGGACTTTCTTTCAGTTTGTGTCTAAAAGTTACTTCTTTGCATGATCTACACATCCATGTATAGAGTTACTTCCTTCATTTCTTTGAAAGACTCCCTCATCCTTCTTTATTTTGTATCAAGATGGAGTAGTAGAAAGCCAAAAACTTTCTTTCCTAATATGATATTATATACAGTGTTCCATTTGAAAAATCGAAGAAGCCGCTACTTTATAGTGGAAACGGTAACGCCGCATCGCCTAAAATATTTTGGGCGTGTAGATCATATTACTTTATGCATATTGTAACATTTTCAGTTTGATCCGTTGTCTGGTTTGCTAAAAACGTCTTATCGTGATACTCCCTGTATAAATTAGTTTCTGCGATTCCTCTCTAACCCAAAAATTTCATGCTCTCCCGATTTTGTATTGAACATATTTTTGCTAGATGCTGACATGTTGGATAACTTTCATGAAAACTGGAAAATGTGCTTAAATTTGTGATTTTTTGTAATTCATCGAATACAAGAAATTTTCTTTTTCCAGGCTTGGCCAATGCGTATATCATCATAGAATCAAAAAATTCAGGATTAGTCTTAGATGGAAATGAATACAATGTCAGAGCAATGCCGGCAGATGGTTCGATAGGTCAAAAGTGGACACTGACACCATCTGACACTGGACGGTTTGTAATAACTAATGCCAGAAATGGGTGAGTTTAATTTTTCAGTACCAATGATCATACGCCTAAATTGGTAGCAAATTGACAAAAACGACTCTCTTCGATAGGAAGATCTAACATATTGTCTCTGGTCTGGATTCCTGGCCATACTAGAAGGACATAGTGGAAGGCAATGCGGCTGCTGACTCCCTTGCAAAGAGGGTGCTGCAAGCAGCTTCATCGGACCAGAACCTGTCATTGGCATCGCTTTGGGCTTTGCCAAACAAACATTGAACACCTGTATGGCAAGAATCTTCCAGGATTGGCTCACTTCAAGGCGTTTATTCACCCTTCGGAGCTTGATGCCAAACAGTTTTTGGACTACAGTAGGGATGAACTACGATGTCTAACAGGCTTTTTTACAGGCCACTGTCATTTGAACCATCATATGCAGAGACTCGGACTCTCGGAAGACAGTTTGTGTTGCCTTCATTTGGGAAATGATGGAACAGCAAAGCACATACCCGCCCCGCTGGGGACTGAATCAGGTGTTTAGAGTTCGACAGAGCCATACTCTTACCATCTGACCTGAAAGACTACTCACCATACAAACTAATCGGTTTCGTTAAGAAGCTGGGTTTATTTAGTCGAGTGTAAATATGTGTGAGCCACAATAAACCCTTGCGGGTTACGGTGGATGGTCGAATAGACCCGCTCACTTTGGACCTAATCTAACCTAACCTAACCAATGATCATACTATAACCAATAAGAGAGGACACCAACTATTTGAGAAAATAGACTCCTAGTTGCTTTGGAGAAAAATATCAGCGTCAATTTTATTTTATGAAATGAAAGCCTGTACGTCGCTCTGTCTGACTGGCTGTATGTCTGTATATCTGTCTTATCCCTATATCTTCGCACTCAATCCAAGCACAGTTATCATTTTCAACCATTTTACCCCACATATAACACTATATTCAGGCAAAAACATTAAAAATAGCATAAATCAATACAACTCGAAATCTAGAATTCCCAAATCCATCTTGAACCGTTATGGTTGGTAAAATTCCTGTAAAAAGCAAATGCCTCTCAGTAAATCAATCCAAAAAAATAGAAACTCCAAATTTGGTTTGTTAAAGGTTTTCTTGATAATGCAAAAAATATAATACATAGAAATCCGTTGCAAACTTTGATGTTTCAGCTATCTTGATATGCCTGAGATTTTCCTTTTTCATTTAATTTCATATCAACACGGTATATCCATACTCATATTGTTAACATTATATTCAGAAAAAACTTTATCGTGTCATTTTCACTAAACAGTTCTACAAAAACGCAACACTTGTTTCGCTATACATTATCTTCTTCAGGCGAATTTTTTTTTATACAAACATTTTCATATATAATTCCTCCACACACCCTTACCAGCATAACATAGCTACACTCAATAGTATTGAATATTCCACTGCCGAAAAGTAATTTTCAAAGAGAGCTTAGTTTCATAAAAAAATCGCTGTCAACAACGGTTGCAAGGTAAATATCGACTTCATTATTTCCAAGAAACTACAAAAACTAGCCACGGACCAGGTCTACCCAAATTCAAAAAACGATAGCGTCCGTTATAAGTCATATTTTGGTGAACCCACCAACAATTTGCTTGGATGTGGCTAACAGAGTGAATAAAAATTTGAGTGAATTTATTAAAATCAATAAAGACAAAATTTCATTGTCGGATAGATCAGGAGCATATTCGGTGGTAGGTTAGACGTTTCTGGAAAACGCAACGCAGAATTTTTCGGAAAATTTCACATCTTACATTTCCTTACTTTTTGTACCGATCTAAAATATTTTTAGCATTTTGGGGCTGCTCCTCCTATCAAAAAGTCCCAGAAAATTCATTTAGAATAGAAGGCAATGCTCTAAGACCTGTGCAAAAGTAGTGATTCACGTTTTTTTTCCAACACCAAACCATATTTTTAACACCTCAACACGTGTTTTGATCACCAAGTAATCATCTTCAAGAGGAAGATCAAACTAGTAGAGATTGAATCTTTTCAATTATTAGAAGCATTAGTTGATAATTAGTTGAGAAAACTTCTTCGAAAAATGTCTGGACGAAGGATGGAAAAGTATATGATGCCATAAATAATAAGATCACAGTAATAAATACTCTTGAGAATATTTCCTAAAAAAGGTTTTTCTTTATATCTATATATGTATAAGTAAATTATAAAAACCGACATATACTTACAACACTCGATCTAATTTTTTTCTTTTCCCATAACGTAGGAAATTTCAACACTCAGCTGATCATTTTTAAATACTGGGTAGTTCCAGATTGTAAGTGAAAGGTAACTGAACCTTGTGATGCACTGTTTAAAACCTTTGGTGTAGTAATGAATATTACTGGAGTTCTTTTCCAACACCAAACCGTTATTTTAACACCTCGACACGTGTTTTGAGCACCAAGTGATCTTTTTCAATGGGAAGATTAAACTGATCTTCCTTTGGTGTTGTGAAGAAACTCCAGTGATATTCATGCACTGAACCTCTTGAAAATGATTAGATCTGAATTGATGGACAAATACAGAGTTTGCTTCTGTAACTTCATATCCAATCGAAAATGAGACTGTTGAGTGTACTTTTTTTTCAGACATGCTCTGGATGTTCAAGATGGCTGCGAAAAAGGAAATAATTTGATTGTTTATCAGAAACATTCTGGTACGAATCAGCTTTTTTATATAAATAGCGATGGAACTATAGGTTCAGCCTGTAATACTGATTTAATTGTGGAAATGAAAGATTCTAATGGTCAGCTGGGTGATATACAAAATTCTTGCAGCAGCGGGGATGTTATTTTCGAAATTCAGGCCGCCCAGTAAAATTATGTCAAATTTCATATGAATGTACGATAAACTGATATGTAATGAAGCAATACCACTCAATCTTCATTCGCAAATGTTGTACTTATCCATGTTTCTGTGAAATAAATAAATAACAAGGTGTGTTTTTGACTGACTCAATGAAAGATACCACTGATTCAGCTATGAAACATAAATTCCTATTAATATTACCACTCTATATATCAACAGAGCATCACATAAAATACATAGTATAACTAATAACTACAAGTAAAGAATGAATTCTATGAAATAGATAATGAGAATATTTTAAACAAATAAAATTTAAAATATGTTCTTCCGTTAACCAGCTGTGGCACCCCTACGATCAACAACCCTCAGACGTAGAGACGTGCGAGCTAAGGACTAACGAGGTCTCACCTTTCAACGTGTGATTCCTGCGGCTTGAACCATCGACTAACACGACCGGTTACCGACCGACCGGCTCAGACAGTTCAATTTTCAGTTTCGAATAGCCAATAACAATATAGTTTATTTAATTTTCACAATGACAATAGTGTGAAAATCGCAGTGAAATGTAACAGTGAGTTTTGATATGAGCATTCATCAAGTACCGGCTAGTTCCATTCCATTTATCTTACTTTCCATCCCTCGTCCAAGGTATTGGAAAAAAACATACTCTACAATAAGTGCCACAAAAGCCTTAACGGAACATGCCATCGTGGACCAGCCTACCCAAGCTATGGTGTAAGGAATCGTGTCGACAGCTGAATGGCCGCAGGGTGGTATGCGGTTACGAACAATCCCCTTGGGGAACCAGGCCAAACCTCATTGTAATCAGCCTTCCTTTGGTGATGCGGGGCTCTGCTAGAGCGACCAACTCTTCCCCTGCTACAGTAGATTGGGGTGAACAGAAATGTTCACCCCAATCTACCGCTCGAAATGAGGCTGGACATGGCAGATTACCTCGTGATATAATACAAAGGCCAAGGCGTAAGCGCATTTGCGGCGCCGATGCCAAAAGGAGAAAGAGTGCGATAGAGGCAGGAGTGGCAGCAACTATAAGTGCACCCTCCTCCTCCCCCACTCCACCTCCAACAACAAGGGCACTTCCTGCGGTGGGCGCCAAGAGCTCCGCTTTGAATAAAGGCAAGGAACTGGCTGCCCTTGCAGGAAAGCGCCCTTTCTTAAGCACCTCCACGTAGGGTCCATCAAGAAGGCTGAACAAGCCGCGCAACGATAGTAATGTCGCTTCATCTTCCAAAACCTTCACGAAAGCTGCCATGAGACACCTCAAGGTTGCCAAAGAGAGTGTGTGTTGCGAGTCTTGGCCTTCACCTGCCTGTGACCTGTCCTCCTGGGGAGGATGTACAATGGGTCACATGTGGCCTAAGTGCTGTGGGTCTACACTCACCCTTCTTACTCTACAGATACAGATACAGAAGGGGAACTTAAAATCAATTTTTTCAAGTTCCCTATCTCTAAATGATAAAGTTGAAATACCGGTCACTAGTTTGAAAGTAAATTTTTTCCACAAAAACCTACCTATTATTGAAATCATCATCAACCGTTGTTTGTTACAGTTACTTTTTATATCGTTTCGTGTTAGGAATCACACGTTAAAAGGTAAGACCTCGTTAGTCCTTAGCTCGCACAAGTTTCTCAATTTCTGAGAGTTATCGTTCGTATGGGGGCGACAGCTGATTAACGGAAAAACAGATTTTAAACAGACAGATTTTAAACAGTGACGGTTCCTATATATCTCAAAGCTGAAGAATATTTTCAGAGTTTTTTGAGAAGGACATTTTTTGTCTTTCTACACATTCATCTTGATAAAAAAGGTGGGAATCTTTCAAAGAATGAAAAGAAGCAAGCACACACTGAAAGCAAAAGCTTTCTCAAAACAGCTACTTTCACATAAAGATTGAACTACAAGAAAAAAAATACTTTCGAAACATAAAATTCAGTATTTATATAAGAATATAAACACACAATTTTATACCAAAAAGCCTTATCTCTATTCAACTTGTGTTCCAGACATTCGTTATGGAATTGAATCAGACATCATTCACAGGATTCCCACACAATATAGTAAATGAAAGATTTCACTTACATAGAACATACATAATATTTCTCTGGTTGCGTTTGTAATTATTATAAATATAAACAAGGGGCTTTAGGAATGGAAACTTTGTTACTGCTAATAGGCCTTGTACAATTTTCAATTTCTACACCTCCAAAGACGTCTAGAAACCCTTTTCTAATGTACGGGATCATTGATTTCAAGCATTTCCAATTTATTTTGAGGCCGTGCTCTAAGGTATATTGAGCGACAATGTCTAATTCCAAATTTCCCTTTTCCATCATCCTGTATTTAGGGTAACACTCGTTAAAGGTTTAATTCCTCGAAAACTTTAATCAATCCTTTGGTGTATTTTGGTATCTCAAAAGTCAAGAAAGCACGAAGAGACGAATTAATGTATCCATTGTGTTCTGAGGATATCAATCACTTTCAACTATTTCGAAATATAATATCTGGGCTGAAAAGTTCCGGATCTAGAAAAAAAACCTGTTTTTTTCAAATTGAGGTCTGCCAACAGCCAGTAGTCGATGGGAGCCAAATCTGGCGAATACGGTGGATGTGGGAGCATATCAGAGTTCAATTCATGTAGTTTTGTCATTGTTTTGATTGACTGATAACACGGTGCGTTGTCTTGCTGGAACACATTTTTCTATTTGCCAGATGCTGTCGTTTTTTGCAATTTCACCCTTCAAACGCTCCAATAATGCTGTATAATATACATAACCTTTCCAGCCGATTTTTATGCTTCCGGGCGCTTGGACGAGGTTCACCACTTGCTCTCCACTCAGATGAAGATCGTTATGATTCTGGTCGGGGAATGATGGAGTCATGTTTTATCTATTGTGACATATCAATGCAAAAATTCCGATTTGTTATGTTCAAACATGGCCAAACACTACTCAGAATGATCAACGTTCTTGTTGTCGGTCAAAAATGAGCACGCGCGGCTCCCACTTTGAACAGAGCTTTCTTATAGCCAAATGCCAACACGTTTTTTCGATATCTTCACAATGTCAGCTAACTTACGCAACTTCACTTTTCGATCATTGAAAAAGATTTCGTGGATTTAGTTTATGTTTTCTGGTGTTACTATGACCACGTAGAAAAAAATGGCCTGGAAGAAGAACAGAATAAACGCAAATCTAAAAAGCAGAAGGAAATTATGAAGGTACAAGTGAAGAAAGTGAAAATAAAGGTTTTGGTGGAATCACAATCATCTTCTGAAGACGAGTACTTTTGCTTAGTTTGCACTGAACCCTTTAGCAATAGCAAACCGAACGAACATTGGATTAGGTGCAGTGTGTGCAAAATGTGGTCACATGAAGATTGCACTGAGGGAAACTCTCCTTATATCTGCCATAATTGCGATTCTGATAGTGAATAAGTGATCATTATTACATCAAGTTATCTAATGTTGTTTTATTAATATGTGTTTGCATTTATATTTTTTAGAGATGTTTTTTGTAGTCGAATGTATGTTCATATTTTTCTTTAAACAATTAGATCAGACGTGTTACAACTTACCCCATATGGTGTTGCTTTTTGCCCCGGGCCGGGGCACATTGTAACAATGGGACAACTTTATTTAAAATGTGGTTAGAGGTCTATTTTACGTATATATATTTGACAAGTTGGCCAAATATTTAAGAAATAAATCACGAAAATTAGAACCAGATTGAAGAAATCGTTATCGAGAAAAAAAAATTGTAAACTTTTTTTGTTACAACCTGCCCCGATCTCCCCTATTCAGGAAACTGTTATTGAAATAAAACACCCAAGGGGTTTGGACATATCATTTATTTTTGCATGTGCAATCTACACTTTTTTCTGAAAACTTTTTATTGATGTATTTCATTATTTATTTGTAAATGGGAGAACCCCTACCAATACATAAAAATAATACAGCTTTCCTTGAAAGTAATTACAAAGTAATATACAAACCTAATGCTCAAGTGTAAATGATTTTATACCTTTAGAAGTTTCTCATTTTCTATATAATTATAGTTGCGTTCACAAGGTTGGGTCATTCCCGCCAAAAGTTTTTTGCTGTCTTGCTCGACTTATTTTGATTGAACAGTGAGAGAGTGAATAACTTTTGCCGGAAATGACATCTTGGATAAAATTAATAGGAACAAAGCGGTAAAAAACAAAAGATTTCAATTTTTACATTTACACTATTACCTGTGCTCAGAATCGCACGCTAAAAGGCGATACCCCGTTAATCACAAGTTTGAACATTTGATGATTTTTGTTCGTAGAGGGCATCAGTGAAGCAGTTATTAATTATAAACGACATGAGCCTAATTAGTGACGTCTTTGACAGCATTATACTATTAATAGATGAAGTTCATCTGGTGAATAAAGAAACACGCGTTTCCTTTTTCATTTTATGGAAGTAAAGTAAATCTATGCCACAGAATATGATTAGAATAAAGTATCTGTGAAAAAACTGTCCATGGCAATAAAGAGGAAGGAATGTTCGGACATCAGATTCATTTTATGCCAGAGTATTCAATTCTATATATCAAGACAAGAGATCCAATTGTGGTTATTCTCCACTGAATTTGTATCAATTAACACGTTATTTCATTCCCACTTCTCCATCCCTGAATCTTTCCCGATGGACCAAAAATAATGGTAATCATCCAACGTAACTGAATTGCCATGAATTCCTAATGGGAGAACAAACTGGGAATTTCTAGGACGACTCTCAGTCGTTTTTTCAACTAAATTTGTTATTTAGTATTCCCGTAAAGTCCGTCATCCATTATCGTTTCAAAAATAGATTTCATTTCGATATTCTCGATCCTCTAAGGGGGTATATGACCGGACGAGTAATGAATTCGTAATGATTTAATATCACGGATATATTTGAAATGAACGACTGCAACTGTATGAAATCATACCACGTGATCATACTGTTGAAATATATACAGGTCGCTTGGTATGTTGTTGACACTATTTGTGATTCTCAAACAAAGAATTCTGCTAAAACAATTTAGTTGATAATTGCGTTTTTAAAAGTTGCTTTCATGAACTCAGACGTGTCGTTCAAAAGGAGTTAT